GCCTCTGATGGAGCCAGTATTCTCTTTGACAACGGTCCGAAGGTGCTGAAAACCCTCTGTTTTCTCTTCCAAACATTTGCTGCTACAAAGGACGGGGTACATGTGCTGGTGTGAACTTCCGGCTAGCCGCTCCACTGCACTACGTTATATATATATATATATATGCTCTGAGGGACCAACCACTTGTAATCACCCCTAGCCTCTGGTCGTCACTTTTGGAACTGTTTGGAAAGCTACCTTCTCCAGAAACTCGACATTTTGGTTTTACGACAATTACCTTTAGAAAACCGACACATTCCCGGCAAAGACAACATGGCAGCAGATGCTGTTTCATGGATTTCGAACTTTCGAACAACAGAGACCTCAGCACCATGACCACAGTTCCGAGTTGGTGATTGGAAATCCTCACCTCGCGTGGTAGCTCAACCATTGCCAGATTTAAAGAGCCCCATCGCCTGACATCTTCACCTTATTGCGCTTACCGCATTTGTATGACGGGTTTTTAAGGTTCATGGCATCTCCAGACTACAGCCAAGCTGATAGCAGCTCAGTACGCCTGGCCGACACGCACGAGTTCGACCGTGCTTGGCTTACCAACAGGCCAAGATCGAGTCACACTACCTCTCGTTGGTCGGCCACATCAAGCAAACTCCGGCTCCACCCACGTTAATAAGGAGTCAACCCTTTAAAAAAACCCTTTACCCTTCTATAATAACATCTATTTAATCAACCTCGTTTGTCACCAGAACCAACGGCCTTTAGCCATCCCTATGCAGCACGTTGGCGTTAAAATTACTATCAGAACGACAGGACGATGGATGGCCGTATGCTACTACTCGGCGACCAACACCAGAGGCTCACAGTTCGGAAGCAGTCATTCTCCCAAGAAACCAAAAATGCATTACATCCACACTAACGCGGGAGAAGACTTGAACTTGACACACGGTAGAACCATGACATTTACAGACCTGAAGATGGCGTATCAAGTGGAGTCGACGCCCAGGCAGTTATGTGTGATACCCCTACACTCGTAGGGGCACTGTGTTATGAAGGACGAAGAGAGCCTATCTGGGATGTTCGAAAAACTGTGTCCACGCTTTCAGAACTGAAAGTAGTTAGGATTGATGCGCTCCACCATTGGGTTCTTCCGATGAAACGAGCTTTTCAGGGATCATGTCAGATTACCTACAGACTCGATGCATCGAGTACGTATAGCAGTCCATGGTACCACTTGACCGCTAGAACAATTAAAGTAGGCAACAATTATTCAGGCGAGTACACTGAAAGATGTTGGCAACGTCTGATGACCGTATCTCCTACAGTATCACCGAAGGCGGGAAGATCTCATTCTTGCGCCAAGTAATGAGACAACATGCCTACTCCATTTACATCTCCACTATGACGGCACTATCCTTAGTCCTAACATGGATCGTCTCGACTTCGTTGTTCCAACTATTCATTCTTCCTAATATGCTCAAAACAGCGAAGTTCCTTTCCATAAATGTCGCTTTCATTCCTCCCAGAAAATGCTCAAAGGCCGAGTGTCTGAAACATACACAAATTGTTTTAAACTCGTCCTCTCAGTTCCAATCGATACAATACATGCTACTCCGTGAAATTTTCAAAGGATGGTATGCTTCACTCAGTATTTGACACTCGACGCTTAAAAAGGCCTTGTCAGCACTGGCCCAAAGCAAAAGCCCTTAGGTGATTGGTCTGTCGACGACCCGACGGGTGCATCCTAGAGGTCGGGGAGTTCTGCGCGTATTGATGAGTCTTCAGAAAAGCAGTGGTTCAGAACAACGCACGCATGAAATTATTTACAGTGATTTGGCACCTGTAATGAAGGTAGCCAGCAATGGGTAGTCAGACCACTACATAAGCCATCCTATGAATTCGATGTCTTTATGCATACATTAATTCGTTGGAAAAAGAATGGGAAAACTTTGAACTATGGATTTGAGCAAGTGTGACTGTTGTGCTAGAAACTTTTTTCATGATAGACATGACAGACATATACAGATATGTCCTAAGAGCGCTAAAACAAATTAAAACCCAAAAAACTGTCGCCCGTTCGTCAAACCCCAGTTAATTTTTCTCCATTCACCGAAATAAACGCACTTCAACGCAAAAAGTACCTAGTTGCAAAGGTCGTTTCAATAGACTACATATGGTCTTCTCTTCCCCCGTTGAGGCCGAACCATTCCAGTTCGGAGACAGCAGCCTTTCGAACCAATCAGATCACCGATCATCCCCTACCGCAAGCCCACTAAGACTATTATTTGAATAACGCACCTTCAAGATTAGTTCGGGCCAGTAGTAACCCAGGGAATCAGAGATCGTTGGACGGAATTAGGATGTTTACCAAAGTTATTTAGGCTGAATTTACGCTCGGTATCCAGCAGGTCTTCAGCCTTTTGCGGGACACATGGTACAATGTTGCAAAGCCACTTCTTATGGTCTCGGATTTTGATGGTTGACCCATCAGCTTGATCTACCGAGAAAAAAAAGCGTCTAAAGGCGTGCTGTGTTGGATTCTGGTATGACACTGAAAGCTCTGAAAAATAAGTTTTCCTCGGACCAACTGAAGTGAGAAAAACTTCATTTTTGGGAAAAACGAACCTCCGTGTCACCGGCGTGTGCTGATGTACGACAGGTACGACAGGCACGACAGGCACATATGCACGCAGGAAGTCAAGGGCTCTTGGGCTATGATTTTCAGGTACCAAGTTTGTGCTTTGGTCCGTATGGTGGCTAAAAAAGTGGGAAGTTGTGGACATGATCACCCGTTACGCGGGGTTCCAACGACTTGAGAAAAACGGTCACAGACCTAAAAGTCACATTGAATTTCGTCTTGAATGTGAGTAATATTTTGTATACACATAATAAGTGATTGCGTGGATATAGTATTAGTACTTCCGGGAAGAACATGTCTAATACTTAATAAGAACTCAGAAATGGGTAATATAGCCCATCGGCGAGAAAGAATATATTTTAGATGAATCCATCCACCATTCGTCCGATATGCAAAGGAGTGTGCGGAAAACGGGTTCTGGAAACCACTTCTGAAATAAAATAGCCACGGACGGCAAAAATGCTCAGATGGATGTGATGCAATTGTAACAAAAATTTTCATGCCGGTGGCCAAGCAGTCGAAAATAGTTAATAACAGAGGCGGTAACCGCGCCATCCGACTTGATTTCGGTTTTGAATGAGGAGATGGGACGCCCACTCCGGCACCCTTACGTGGAATAAGGCTAAACAACCTGTTTGAGTGGAATATGCGTAAGAAACCTATTAACATTTTGTCTTTCTGGTGGCCGTTATTCACTAGATCCCAA